AAAAAAAAAAAAAAAAAAAAAAAAAAAAAAAAAAAAAAAAAAAAAAAAAAAAAAAAAAAAAAACATACTGTTTGCCAATTCTCATAATAATATGACCACTGGAAGATAATTTAAGTATCTCCTATAGTTTCTAGTTTTTCACATTGTTTCTTTTCTGTGTCACGAATATCTTGAGTATCTGTGTAATCGAAAGTTATGCACTTAGTAATTTAAGTCTAGCCATGATATTTGGATATTATGAAAATAAATAAGCAGGACACCAGGCAGGGAATTAAATTTACCAAGCAAAATGAGTGCTTAGACGATCACTCATGATGAACATGTCTACTTCCCTAAATAAAGTTTATAAGTTCATCATGAGTGCAGAAAACTGTGTTTGTAGGATAAACAGATTCAAAGACTAGAAGAAAACTTAAAGTCACAAGTGTTTAGGGCTTGAGTTGAATGCACTTGGGTGAAACATACTACCTCTGAACATTTCAGTTTACTTGTAAAACAAGCATAGTAGGTGCTCTTTTTTCTGTACTGGATTGGTATAAAGATCTAAAGTGATAATGCATATGAAAATCCTTTGACAGTACCTACTATAAATTGTAAGATTGTACTGGTGTTTTTTCTGCTATACATACATTTTTAATTTTGCTGATAATATTTTTATAAATACTGAAACTTTCAAAGATGTTTCCTGGGAAATAAAATTAAAGTGTGAGTCATACTGGGGACTTGTTTTGCTCTTTTGAAATGTGATATCATGCATACAATAACCAGCTCCTAATTCTTGCCCATACATGCAGTTCGTCTGCATTTGCAAATGTGTGTCTGTAGGAGTATTTGAGGAATCACAGTGTCACCTGTTAGTAGAAAAAAATCAAGCTGTTTTACAATGCATTTTCAAGTTATAACTAGCTCACTGGAAGGTTAATATTCAGAAAATCAATCAATTGAATTAATTGCTCCTGATTTGAAACAAATTACATTGGAGTTTTACAGAGAAATGAAAATCAACTGTAAATAAAGTGACAACCAAACTAATAGAGAATTCAGGAAGGAAACATGTTGGCATGCCATTTTAATAAGTTATCGGGTTATTTGTATAGGAGTTAGAGTCTATGTGTTATTTTCTAACTCTACAAATGCCTTATCTCAAAGCAGACATTACTTAAGTAAAAGCACGTTTACTGTTGCTCTTTTTCCCTGACAAAGACATACAGCTCTAACACTGTTATGAAACACTGTGGCAAATACTGATCATACTTTGCAGACTTTTGGGTCAAAGATAGGTGACACACTTTGCTTTAAATTTTTTTTCCTTTCCTAAAATTTATATTAGACAAACTTTTGTAAGAAATTTCATTTGAATTGAGGAAAATTCACTTCTTTTCGGTCAATCATGTTGACATGCAAATTATTATATCCTAACATAATTCTCTTATACATTTTTCATGTACTGGGTTTCTCAAAGTAATGTATACATCACCAACATCGAGGACAGTTAAATTTCAGAAGTAATATCAAATTCTTATGGGTTTCTTTTCTTCCAAACATTTTGTTTCCCAGTAATTTATTTATCATTTATTCATTCCTTCAACAAATACATGTTGATCATTTATTTGTACCAGATACTACTTAAGTACCAAGAGATTATCAAAATGAATAGATTAGTATGCTCCCAAGGAATCCTCAACTAAGGAAAAACACGTTTGTTTAATAAAATTGTGAGCATAGTGAGTATTTAATAAACTGTTATCTATTCACAGAGAGGGACAAAACATGTGCACATGTATGTAATCATAACGGCAGAAGAATAAGGCAGAAAAGTCCTTCTTAACATTGAACAAAAGTAAAATTACTAGAGAGCGCATAAATATGCATCAGCCCAAGTGAGTCAGTGAAAGTAAGAGATGGCTCGTGTGTAGCAGATAAGTAAAAGACTTGTATGGGAAGGAAAGTGTAGTTGGTTGGAAGGCAGTTAAGAGAGGACTGAGAAATCTGCGTGGCAAGTAAGGAGAAAAGGAAGACTGCAAGTGGTGATCACAAAGTAACACGTTTGATTAAATACTCCTGGGAGATGAAGTCAAGTTTTCACTTTCTTTGGAGGAATAGTGTGAATTTTGAAACTGCAGACCTTTTGCTACACTAACATCACAGATACTGAAATCTTTATTTTTTGTTAGAGGAAATTAAATACCTCTGCCAAAATGTGCCTATTATTTTCAGAGCTCTCCTTGGGTAGGCAGTTGTTTGTGGATACAATTATAGTTTTTATTTAATCACAAAGCAAGTTTTTATTTTAATTGAAATAATGTTTAAGTTATGTAAACAAAGACAATAGTTTTAATCAAGCTAACCTTTATATTATGGAAGCATTTAAAAATGGTAAAGGTTTTCTAACTTGAATCTATGTTGGGATTGTAGTCTTATTTTATCGGAGTATGTTTCCTAAAGAAGTCATAAACAAGAAACTGTCTTGTTAGTGATAATGCTATATCACTTTGGTAGAAGTACTAGAATGATTATCACTCATTTTAGATAGATATTTTTGAATTCAAATCTAATCATTTAGAAAATCCTGTTGAATATCTGTTTGCTCAGAAGAAAAAAAGGAGCCCAACATCTTAATAACTTGAAGAAAGCATGCTGAGGAATATGGGCTGTCCAGTTGCAACAACAATATTTCTAATGTCTTAATAAGTATAGAAAAAGTCTATCCATCTGGTATACCAGACATACAGTGACAGCACCTATGAAGATGCTCTAGGATATTACTATTGATCAGTTCTAGAATCCCCATTTTTCCAGATCAACTTTTGCTGGTCTTTAGCTAAAGTTTTATATTTCAAAGTGGGTCAGGATTCCAAATCTTGGCTCAAAATATTGTATTTTTATTTCAAAACATAGACCTATAGGACTTTAAATACCATTGTGCAAAGCAGAATAAAAGCTTATTTTATAGAATGAATTCTGTGGCTAAATACAACTATTCCCTTGTAGTGTTAGTGAAGGAATTATGGTCTTAAAATATTGGATTAGGAAGCCATTTTTCTATTCTATAAGTAGGAATATTTTGGACTCTTTCCATATGGTATGTTTGGACATTTTATATTCTTGTACAACCTTATTTTGTAGATCATTTATATGAGTCCTAGTGACAAAATGCTTAGACTTTAGAGTTATCAAATAGTTGCTTATGCCTCTAAACACATTGGGGAACTTTAAAATATGTGACTATAAATCCAAATGCTGAGATAGTCTCTTTGGAAAATGGGTAATTACCCCAGAAGAATACTAACCTACCATGCATACCTCTAGGGGATTTAAAAAATGTCTCAAATCTGAAATTCCCTCAAACGCCTAATACCAGCTCTTCATAGGGCAAGCTTCTGTGCTAAAGATCCTGTTCTTGTTAAGAAATCAAGGTTTGATCCTGAAGCCACAGTAGTCCATGATGCAATGTTTCAAGGTAACTGTGGCACTTGTCCTCATGCCGCAAGGCAATGAAAAGCCTTGGCTTGGTGTGTTGGAGACCAGAACTTGGGGGTGATCAAGCACTTGAGTATATTTGGAGTCTCTGTGTGCATTTCCTTTTTTTTTTTTTTTTTTGAGACTGTATCTCTGATTGAATATATCAAAACAAAGGAACCTCATTAAAACTATTAAGAGTAATTTAAAGTTCAATAGTCTCATTGGATGGCCTGTGTCATAATAAAAGCCTGTATTTCTGCCAGTGCTACAACTGCTACGGGCATGATTAGGTGGGAACCTTCTCAAGCACCAGAGATTTATAACACCATCTCAGCGAATTGCCTTGAAAACGTCTCGGAGTTTTTCATTCAACCTTATTATCTTTATGAAATACCTTTGTTGTTTGTTCTCTGCTAACTGTTTTTCCAGGAACCCACACTTACCAGTTCAAGCAGAACATTTCAGCATGTTAAACTCTTGTGACCTAGACATCATTCTGTAGCTGGTCCTGAACTCCACATGATGGT